AAATTAATAGAAAATAATTGTATTTCTTTTAGGAAATGGGTACTGATGAGCAGTTAATCAAAGTTTTGAGTAATATTTTATCTACTGCTCAAGCATTTATGAGGAAACAGAAGGTTTGTTTTCAAGAAAATTATGTGGTTAATAATGGTGATGTAGATGATGATGATGATCACAGTGATGATGATAGTGATAATTGATGATGATGATGGTAATGATGAGGATGACGATAATGATGGTGGTGACAATGACAGTAGGGATGAGAAGAATAATAATAGCAATGATAGCATATTTTTAGTGTTGTTGTGTACCACACTATGTTTTTTTTTGGTTTTTTTTATTAGAGATGAATACCTTTAATTTTTCAAGTAAAACATATTTACTTTTCTGTAATTTCTTTAATTAGTTTTTATTGTTTTTGTTTGTGATTGATTTCTTGATCTATGAAAGCCTGGTTAAGAGCTATTTATGAACAGGTAATGGATGTTAATGATCATGAAGTAATTATGAAGTAATTATCATGTAGAAATAATTGAATATTGATTTTTCAATACTTAGAATGAATGCAGCTTTGTAAGCTTACGAGATGTTGAGAGAACTCTAAGTGTTATGGTCTGGTTCTTCAACAAACGAGAAATGTTACGAAGTTTGATTAACGAAAGGAGTAAGAAAGGTTTCATGAATGTTGAGAAAAGTGTAGAGGAGGAAAGTGTAGTGGAGGAAAATGTAGAGGAGGAATTTTATAGTGAAGAAAACGATGATCCAGATGAAATTGTCAATGTGGCAATGGATAAGGTATTGTACTTCTCTGCTCTATTACATATTTAATTTGTTTAATTTTTGTATTTATTAGAATTATTATTTAAATTGTTATTTTTGTGTCATTTTTATCATCATCATTATTATTATCATAAACATCATCATTATCATCACAATTATTAGTATAATACTTTACCTGGATAAATTAAAAATAACAATTGTCAATGTTCCTATACAAACACCCCAAATGGACTTTCATTGTGCATTAGGGAGGATTATTCTATTATTTTTGGGGGGTAGTCCATTGAAAGTGTTTCCAATTATCAGGTTATTGGAATAATAATAATAATAATAATAATAATAATAATAATAATAATAATAATACTAAATAATAATGATAATAATAATAATAATAATAATAATAATAATAATAATAATAATAATAATAATAATAGATGGATTTATATATCGCAAGTGAACCGCAATGTGCTCGACAATTATTTCTCATAGACACTCATAAACAACATCACTACTGATTTCTGTAATTTTTTTTATCTTTTTGTGCATTTTTAGGAATTGTATATAAGGGTCCAATATTTTGTGAAGGTGGTCCATCTAGATGGAGCTAATTAATTGGTACCCTCAGTATATACAATACAAGAAAATGAAATGTGAAGATTAAGATTTTGTTCGAACTATAATTTTCGACAAATTATTAAATTAAGTTAATGACAGATAAATTGTGCAAGTCTTAAAATTTCTGAAAATAATAAATTAATTATAATAATTTTGTAAATAATAGTATCAAACAAAATTAACGAAATGTAAAATGTTGTAACCAAATGATTGGCAAAAGGGAACTTTGCAAAAGATTAGATGGAAGATATTCTGAAAGGTTAGATTTAAAAGAAGTCGAGTTATTAAGAGAACAACAATCAGTGAGTTTTAGATGGAGGGAGCATTGTAGCATTGTTGAACTGTACTTCATTTTAAAATGTCTGCAATCTTTTTAATAGGAAATTAGTGATTGTACTTGGGCAATTGTTCTTGCACTTGGTGTTTGCTACCATGCACGCCTAGATGAGAAAAGGGAAGAATTTAGAAATGCTGTATCAGAAAGCTTTAATGCCCCACTGAATTTATACGGAGGAAGTGGAAGGATTTTCAGAGAAATAAACAGGTAAAACATGCTATTTGTATTGCACTGCAAATGAAGTATGCAAAACAATGATATACTAGTAGAACCCCTATTTAGTGGACACCTTTGGGATCCAAAAAGTATCCACTAAAATAGGGGTGTCACCCCTATAGGGACAGCGACTAGAAACCAATTAGTTAATCTGTTTAATTCTTTTTTGTGAAATGCATCATCTCTCTGCCTAATTTACTAATGGATAGTAATATATAGTGCTTTATGTAAACACACTTAAACAAGAAAATATTGGCATAAAATATCAACTATGTGGTATAAATTATTTGATTTTTTTTTCTTATAGTTGCCAAGATATCTTTTTAGATGCAGTTAAATTGGGACCAAATATTGCACGCAACATGGCTCTTAAAGAGAACATTTTCATGATGATTATCTGCATTGAGCTACGGATTCCATTGTTTTTGGTCGGCAAGCCTGGAAGCTCAAAGTCTTTAGCCAGGACGATTGTGAATAATGCCATGCAAGGTGATTCTGCAGCATCTACACTCTTTAAAGAACTCAAGCAGGTATGACCATCTATTATTCCGACGACCCAGATATAGTTCCCACTAAGTACGACTCAGTTTTACTTAGCTGTAGTTAAGTATGTGGTTGATATATACTGGGAGGTTAAATTGCAGGGTGAAAAAGACCTAGCTACCCTAACCCACAATACCAAGGCTCAGTATGGTGGGCCCTAACAGATCATCCAGCATCATAGTTTCATTAATGAATATGGAAACCTTTTAACCTTTAAATTTTCTCAAAGTCAATAAATGAGGCTGTGGTAATGATTTTTGCTTTCAAATATCAAAGTATAGTATTCAACCCAAATATTTCAGGATTTTTTTTTACATTACAGGTCTCAATCCTCCAATTAATGACCATGGACCTTTGGGACTGGGGATTTCATGGTCTTTAGCAGCTTTTGTCTCTAATTATAATAATAAAAATAAAAGACATTTGTTAATTTGGGACCACAGCAAAGTGGTCTTTAATTTGAGGGAGACCTAGTACTTCACTTAAATTGAACCCAATTGTAAAAAAGAATGAATGTAAGAATGGGTGAACTAAATTATTTATAAAACAGATAAGCAAGTCAGGACGTAAACCTATGAGTACAAAAACTTTTCCATACGTGTCATATAATATAGTGACGAAACTGAATGAATTCAAGTCCCCAAGGCTTGTTGATGTTAATTGTTATAATTTGAATCAAATCTTGTTCACATCATTTACCTTACCAATTTGTTTTCAGGTGCACATGATTTCCTACCAGTGCAGTCCATTGTCAACACCAGATGGAATTGTGGGAACTTTCCGTCAATGCAGCAGATTCCAAGAAGGGAAAGACTTGAAGAAGTTTGTGTCAGTTGTGATTCTGGATGAAGTCGGTCTTGCAGAAGACTCACCAAAAATGCCGCTTAAGGTACTGATTGTATATCATTTATGGTAAAATATTTTTAAGTTTAAAATTGTACATTTAATTTAAAGAAATGATGTTTAAATAATTATGATAGAAGTGGTTTATTTTTTGTGAGAATTGAACCCACTCCTGTTTGGTTCCTATACTGTAAAGCAATAGTAACCTTTGCAATGGCCTTTACATGTATGTTCGTACGTGTGTGACACTGACGTCATCATATTCGTTGAAAGCTTTTTTTGCATACACGTAGCTGTTGGTCATGTAATTGTGGCAAAGACAAGCCAAACCAGTCACTCGTCACAAAAATCGATTTTGAGTTATTATTAAAGTGTTAGAAAGTAAAATAATAGCTATAAAATGGTAAAAAAATCATTCAAATTGGACATTTCCTTATGAAGTTACAAGCGTTTAACCACACTGCTGTTTAAAGAACAATGTATGAGAAATTAACCGTCAAAGTTATGATTTCAGGCATTTCTCATGCAGAAACTATCTTTAAATCCTTAAAAAGTATTGTTTTAACATTGAAAATGTCGAAAATAACAGCATAGAATGATGTGTAGATATATAAAGGTTGGTTTAGTGCAATAAAATAGATTTTTAAAAATTTGACATTCCAGCATGTTTTGGCCATTTTCTCTGAAACAGGTTTTGCGACGAGTGACTGGTTTGGCTTGTCTTTGCCACAATTGTGCCCTATTGCTTAAAAAGATTATTGGATGAATATTAAAGCAATACACAGGAACTTTATTACCCCCTCCATCCAAGACTCGGAATAATCTGGCATAGTAGATTATTGAATGTCTATCTTTATAAGGCAGGCACCTGATCTTTAGATTAGAGGAAAGCAACTGACACAGTCTTAACCTCAATAGCTTTTACACTATGACCTTGCTTACAGTTGTAGTACACACTAATTAATTAAAAAGTTTTTGATGGTTGTACTAATAATGAAGGGCAGAAACAACTCATTTTCTCTGTATTTAATCTCTATTTTTCATGGTTTTAATTTTCATTTCTGATATTCACAATACAAAACAATTGTGATCTTATATTTATTGTTAGAAATATTTACAACACTTACAGCTATGACAAGGCATACTGTGCTTATGACATACAATCCAAACCTCACTATATAGCTATGGGGCTTTTGTTCTCCCTGGTTTCGTTTTGTTTGTCTATCTACATTATTACAAATAGTGTAATATTTTCACAAACATTGCTGCCATTCATGTGTTGATGTACTATGGCGAAGTGCACATTTATAGCTTTGATTCTGTGCTCATTTGCGTGATAAAATCCTTTCGCCGAGCTCTGATTGCCTGCGCATTAAGAAGAAACTCCAAAATTAGCCGAAGCGAACTACTACAAGTGAAGAAGTGAACAATCCGGTGAAGGATTCGCTCATGAAAATCAAAGCTGTACATGCGTATTTTCAAACACTTTC